CCCTCATATGTAATTGTAAAAAACACAAAAATGCCCATAAAAATTGCAAAACACAAAATATGAAAACAAGTTCGTGTGTATCTCCGCATGGATCTGACAAACCTTCATGCTAAATTTGGTGAAGATCCATCAACAGGGGGCAAAGTAGTGGTAAAAAATACCCATAAAAACCACAAAATGCAAAACTGAAAATTTGTATGCATCTCCCCATGGACCCAATGAACCTTCATACTAAATTTGGTGAAGAGTCATCCACAGGAAGTGAGGTAGTGGTAAAAAATGCCCATAAAAATTGTCTTACTAAATACATACCTACTGTATAACAGATTTTCCTAGCAAATGTACAATATATACAACACTGTCCTGGTAAATACATACCTATTAGACAATAATTGTCCTAATACACAATGAATTGCAGTTGATACAAGTTAATTGAAACACATCTCTCTTTTAAATACACAATTACTGTTTCATACCTGTTATCCAAGAAATTAAGTTTCTCAGGTTCCAAATGAATTTCCTTCATTTTCATAAATGGAGCTTCTAGGGTAACTATGTAATTTTTATCTGGAATCTCACGTACATACAACCATCTTCGACTAATGTGAGTTTCGCTATAAGATGAACACTTGAAAAGAATAAATTCTCCAACATTGCCTTGGGAGACATTTTGGAATGCAAGTACAAATGCTGGAAGTTTCATTAAACAGCAGTAACTTAAGCAAGAGCTGAAGCAGCAGTGGTGGAAAGAAGAAAGGATTCAAAAAGTGGGTTGGTTTAAATTCAGTTGCTATAATAAGCACATAGGGCTATCCAGATGACTTAAAAAGAAACAACCTTTCTAAAGCTTGACTATTTTTAATCTCTAGAAGGGTGGGAATTTGAATGGTTTATGTGTTGTCAAGTGCCCTCTGTTGACAAAAAGAACAAACACTTCATTCTTGTTATGATAATAAAATATATTCACATAAAACATCACCATATGAGAATTAAAGGAAAAACAAGGATCAAAAAGCCATTTGACCCACTAATGCCACACCTCAGTGACATTCACAACAACTAATTCAAACTAAACTACATAACTACAAATAAATTCAACAAAATCTTAAAACTAATTTAAACCAATAGCACATACACCACAACACTAAGCAATCAAAAAGTTCGTAAACTATATAAAGCAGTAATTATGCTAAAGGAAAACTTTGGATCTGTGCTTTAAAATCTTATATATATATATATATATATATATATATATAACTTATACTAAATAATAAGTGCCTACTTTACTTAATTAATTATTTACTTACTAATTAATTAGTTTAC